TTTAAATGGAATTTTATCAAATGTTAGACAAGCTTTTGTAATCTTCTTTCTAGTTTTCTGTGTTTGTCTTATGTTCTTTTTTTAAGGACTTGATCGCTAGTTCTGGAAAAAAGTGCTAATTCTCGTAAATCCATGTTTCAACAGATTATGTCCCTTTCCCCATGCTTTGCAGTCCTTCTGCCTTCCTGTCCGTCAGTTTCCATTTCTCTTACTCAAGATACTGAACTCTGCTTACACATAGTGCAAATTACTAAAGCTTTAATGCTGCTTACTTTTCCAATGGACATCAAATTTGAAATCTGCTAATACTTGCTTTTGACCAGTAGAAGGGACCATGTTATTAATATACTTGATACGTTCTAGGTAGCACCCTAGTTCACAGTCAAATGTTGTTTTTCTTATCATTAAAAACCCTTCAGTAGGTTTGCAGACACATTTCGTAAGATGTATCATCTGCTTGAAAGCAGGAGTCCAACTTTTGCTTGACACCAGTGTCTTAAGGAAGCAGTTACTTTTAGTATATGATTTTTAGTTAGCCTTTTTTTCTATGACCTTGTTTTTGCACGTGCTCCTTCTCTGTATGGTGGTCTGTGTATTCTTTGACTTAAACCTCTGTTTGTGTTTCTGTATGAAAAAAATCCAGCTGCCCATTTAAAATGAGAGGAACTTTTTTGCTGATGTGTGTGTACGTAGTCTGATAGCTATGGGTATCTGACAGTTTACTGGAGAAAGAGCTTTTTTCTTTTAATGAAATGGGGAGCTGTCAGCCAAGCAAAACTGGTACCTCTGAGCCTTTATATATGATCAAGAAAGTCCTCAAACAGCTGCGATGAATTTTATCTTCTGTATGTATTTTCTGTAAATTACCAACCATGTCTTTTGTTTTCTGCTTTCAGAATTATGTAAGGTAGTGAGTTTTACTGACTGCAAATTGTGTTTTGTGGTAGAAATTGTATCAACTGTTCTTCCTGTCAGGACATGACCTAAAATTTTTAAACTTCTAGCTTTATTTCAATTCCAATCTGTACTAGAGAACATCTCCGGGTCACCTACTTACCCTGCCTTGCCTTTTTGTCCTCCATTCAGCAACTATTAAATTACACTGTTGTCACAGAGAAATGGGACCCTGTGAAAAAGATAGAGGATGGATCAATCATCAGTGCCCAGTGATGCTACAATTACAAAAATTACATTTTTAGTTTTGTATTGTATTTGAAGGAACAGACAAAATGTTATCCAGAGAACAGTAAGTTCTCTACAGTCCTACAGTGCAAAAATATTCATGTACCATGCAATATTGAACGTATGTTCAGGCACTTAAAAACTGAACTTCAGTGTTTTCTGATTTATTTTTACTTTTTCTAATTTTCTTAAGGCAAAATTTGTTTTAATATGAGCATGTGAAAAATCTTGATTTGTTAGGCTATAACTGTGTTTTAGTTCTTTTAGTTATGCCATACCTTTTAAAAAAAATGGTGGTTTCTCAGGGTGCTGTAGTCTGCCCTGGGTGCAGAATGATGGCACATCCTGCATGAGAAGCAAGCAAGGACAGAGGGAGGGCAGTTACCAGTGTGAACAGTTCGTTTGCGGTGATGTCGTTTGCAGTGATGTCGTTTACCTTTAACTCACAGTAACAATGGCCGAAAACATGCCTGAAGCTTCCAAGGAATCTGTTTTTATACACATTTCACTGTTTAAAATTTAGCTTTTACAACCAATCATCTGTGTTCTGCTAAGGCAGTTGGTAGCTGAGTACTTGGTCTTTCCCTGACTGTTTCAAACCGAGATATGGACTGAAAGTGCTGCCTTTCACAGAGTGAGGTACTGGCATGTTTAGTTGGATAATAAAAGTACACCTGGTATCAATTATGCAGTGGAAAGAAACATTTTATACTCATCAGCAAGGTTATGTTGCAAGGCCACAGTCTAAGGCAATGTTGAAGATTTTAAACTGAGTAGTTCCTTCAGTATCAATACTGTTAAAATAGAAGGGGTAGAGCTTGCATTTCTACAGTAAAGTTGATCTAACAGTTATCCTGGGATTGGAAGGAAAGAAACTCTGAAAAGCCTGAACAAGACAAAAAGCTGATCCCCAGGCCCAGAGGCTTACCTTGCTGTTGTAGTACCTACCTTCTTTTGATACTTTTTTCTAGTATATTTTTCTAGCTCACAAAAAGGTCAGTAGGATAAATAATGCAGATTTAGGCATAAAATATGCCATTACAATATTTGTTTTTGTAAATCTGTGTCAGAAATTGCTGGACATGCAAACCAAATGTGAGACTGAAATTCTTTGTGATTCTGAAAAACTCTACTCCTGATCTAGCAGGAGACCAGAAACAGTATTCATTTAAAGTATGATTACTGATAGGGATAAATGTTTGGATTGAATAAAGAGTCTTAAGATCATACTAGTGCTAACTGTTTAGAAACAAATTCTGTGAAAATGAATAGTGGCTAGCAAATGGAGGGAGGGATGTGTATGGGGGTTTTTTTTGTTTGGATGGGGGGGGTGTGGTTTGTGTGGTTTTGTGGTTTTTCTAAAGAAATTGCTCAGTGAATAGCTCCAAATGTTGGTTTTGGAATAATTGTTAAGGAGTAATTTCTGAATAACCATGGTCTTTGGGGAATGGAGCACCAGAGTTGCTCAACTATGGGTACTTTTAGCTAATGACAACCTCTTCAAATATGTCAGTTAACTTCAGCAATTGGATGTTGGGGGTTACTGCTTAATTGAAGTGGAAGGTGATGTGGAAGTAGCCATGGAATTTACTGAAAGCAATGCACAGGAGAGCAACTCATTTAACTGATAGTTGGACTGTAGGTATCTGTCAGATACTCAGTTTATTAAACTGTACATACATCTGTTAGATTGTGTGTGCTTGTATTCAGTAGTACCACTTGAAATCCTTTGTTTGATGGTAGCTCCTGCTGCTTGTGTTTAAGAAAATTTTAGCATTTTATGATACTCTAAGGAACAAGAAAAGTCATCAACTGGAAAAGGTGGGAGTAAACTGCAGAAATATTTACAAAGGCAGTCTAATCTTACTCTGTTTTTAACATGCTATTAATGTCTTAGCAGTTCATATCTAACAATAAAAAAGTCACTATGCAGAAACATAAAATGTGTTACAGCATTAATTTATGGAGGCTTTTTGTGGTGTGTTCGCATTTCTTGTCTTAAGCTTAGTGCTGTAGTTATGTGGCCATTTTAATTGCACATCAATTTTTGCTGCTGTCAAAATATGGTACTGCTTTCTTTACCTCTGGCCAATTACTTTAGTATTTCCTAAGGATTGAAAGTTAAGGTCCTGATCCTGAAAGTTTTTGCTGCGTGTGATGATCTGTAATTTCATATGCATTAGTCAACTGCTCATGGGATTACTTAGGCGAGAAGTAAAGCACATGCAGAATTTTGTGGCATCGAGGTTAAAGCTCTGTAGAGTTTAAAAGGCATAACTTCTGTTCTATAACTGTTGAATTGTTAACATAGGAGGTATTTTAATTTGTCAATGTATGAACGTTTATGAACAGCAGTCCTAGTGTTCCTTCTTTTTTAACAGCAGCCTAAACTTAAGCTTCTACGTCTATATTTGGACTCGATGATTTTGGCTTATTTTAGTTTCAGATTGTAATTGGTGGTTTTATGTTGATGTGAGTATATTTTTAATTTTTGGAAGGTTCATTGTTTTGGAAAATACCTATGGCAAAAGTAGTGCTGGCTTCTTGCTTATCGATTCTGTATATGAAGTTTGAACTGTGCAATCTAATTTCACTTTACGTGAAAGCGCTAGATAATTACAGACGATCAACAGGGAGAATTAAAGTGTAAAGCACAGGAAGGGAAAACTGGGAGGTAAAAACTTTAAAATTTTTTTTATAACCTAGATATCCTTGTCAAACAACAAAAATACTACTGCTCAAAGACTGTATAAGGCAAGGCAACCTTTGTCTCAAGAAGTTGTTGTGTGAGTGATACAATGAATTATAGAGTGTTACCAAAAGAGTACAAATATTCTTTTTTTTTCCTTTTGTTTTGGGGTTTTTTTTTTTGCTGTTGAAGATGGAGTCTGGTCTCAGGATATCCGAAACCTGTGAAATACTTTTAATAGGTCTCACAGAAGATAGAAACCAAAATAGTTTCTTATCAGCTGCATCTGAGTGATGATTAAACAATGAGTAAATATCAAATGAGATATTTGTTCAATTTGTTTTAAAATTTACTGGTTTGGGGTTTTTTTTGTATCTTATATTCATCTTGGTGTTTAAGCATGGTCTTTTCTAGAAGGCCAGTGTAGTTTAATTTTGCAGTGCTGGCCACAGTTAACCAGATGATTCCTTGTGCAAGTGCTTAAATAGATTGATAATGCAAGTCTAACTCATACATGTGAAACAAACATTCAAAATAGTGTTACAAATTGACAAAATAATTGACGATGCTAAGTGCATTGCTCCGATTTTTAAAAATATTTCTTGTGTAACTGAAATTTAAAAAACTCTTGAATAGTTGTTCCATGCCTGGATGTGGTTACTGCAGCCTGTTGGCACTTGATCTAAAAATGGACTTTGTGAGGTGGCAACTCCCAGGTTTAATAAGTGGCTCTGGCTTAAATGTAATGCTGAAACTGAAGATCCACCCATTTATCTCTAATATAAAACCCAGAGTATTTCTGCAAATGTGGCATAATGTTCTTTACATAAACTGAGCTGTTTGGGGACTTCCTTGAGATATTTTTTCAAGTATGTATTTTTTCCATGCAGTATCTATTTCTGGCAAAGGCGAGTATGCATCACTGTTGCAATTTTGATAAATCATCCTGCTATGTACAGTGTATTTTACTGGGGTTCATACTCTGGACCATTATGTTCCTGAGAGTCATTTGAAGCTTGCTTGTAGTCTTAAACACTGCTATCTATGCTTGTGTCTCGGGAAGTAAAAATGGGGAGAAGAGTGAAGTCCATTACAATATAATTTATAACCAATTATTTTCACTTTTCAGATGTTCCTCCTGCTGATCAAGAAAAGCTTTTTATCCAGAAGTTACGACAATGTTGTGTACTTTTTGACTTTGTTTCTGATCCACTAAGTGACCTAAAGTGGAAGGAAGTAAAACGAGCAGCTTTAAGTGAAATGGTAGAATATATCACACACAATCGCAATGTGATTACAGAACCTATTTACCCTGAAGTAGTACATATGGTAAGTGATTTAACAATGAGAACTATTTTGAATTTTTTTAAATTCATAGTTACTTCTTCAGCTGTATCAATTTATCTTAAGAAATCTTACTGAAATCTTAAAAAAAGATTAACTATGTTGGCACATCTGCAAAATGGTAATATAACTACTTTTAAATCTCGTTGCCAGTGTTGACGACTCTTCTTTGTAAGATAAACTAGACACATATATGAAGCAGAAGTAAATGAGGGTTTAAGTTGGTAAAAATTAAACGTTATATTTAAAAAAAAAAAAAAGAGGGGTTTGCTTTTTTCCCCACAAATCTTTTTTGAATGGATGTTTATAAAAATAGGAAAGTTAAATGCATCTAGCTGTTAAAAAAAAATATAGATTGCAAAAATGAAAACTTGAAAAAAATTTAGATTAGAATGAAGATCACCTGCGCAAGCTTGACACTTAATCTTAGGTAATCCTCGTCAGTACTGGTGACTGATTTTATTCTGTATTCAGAGATGAGAATGAGATTCAGACCTTAATTAGTACACAGGATGGCAGATGAGTATTCTGCTGGAACAAGCCATGTGAAGTGTTCAGATCTGTGTTGCTTGTCCCTGCTCACTATCCAAATCCTAGCCAGATAGACCTGGTTTATTTTTGTTATGCCTAAGTCCACTGCATAGGAGATGGCCATGAACCTACAGGAGAGTCTTTCAGCTCTCTTTGTGGTGACTAGACACCAGTTGCCTGGAGTAGCAGTTGGGTTGAGGTCTGTAGCTGTTGTCTGCAATACACTGAGAAAAGAAAGCATCTTTTGAAATTCCTGACTGGTAAGCCTGCAAGAAACTTTTGACTGTGTGTGACATGATGGCTTTTCCCAAGGCTTTATAACTTGGGGTGAATTTTCAGGGGAATAAGAAAACAATGCATCTTTAACATAAACATGAACTCAGACAAATTTTGAGATGTTCCTACAAGTCAAGAGACTTTGAAGCTTCTTCAAAGATTCTAGGGATTTATAGTATGAAACATGTTGCTTATTCTGAAGATTGCTTGTTATCTAAATCAACCATAAGTGTTTGCTGATACAGAAGTTATTTTTATGAGAACTTCTGAGTATATGAGGATTACGTGTAACTCTAGATGTCAAACATGTACAGAAAGCATTGAGGATGGTTAATGAGGAGATGTGGGATCGTGGCTTTCCCATGTCTTGATAGCTTCTTTATATCTGTTTTTTGCTAATTGATGGCTTGTTTTAGAATACTTGACATTGACGAAAGGGGAGTTATGAAAGAGAATAAGCCTGCTGAGACTCCATTTAGGTAAAATGGACTTCATGATGAGTTCCTGAATATTTGTCAGACATCAATGTTTGCTCTGTGTAAGAAGTCTTAACTGCCCATAATATAATAACTTTTGCCTTACATGCCTGCATTATCTTCATCCAGCAGTTATGGGCAGAATAGTTGGCTGAGAAGAATGTATGCTTTCTTCGCTTTCAGTTGCAACTAGTGGTAATAAAGTCTGCACTTCAGTTAGTTTAATAAATCTTGGTGCAGAATTGGGCTGCTATCTTAATTGCCAGTGTTTTGCTGGGAGCATGCAGCATCTGTTTGACAGTTCCTTCAGTGAATTTAAAATAACTTTTATGTGCAAGGTTCCAAAGGGTGCGGGGTTTCCTTGCATGGGACTTGCACAGCACTGCAATAGACACTGTCAGTGAAGGCACCTGGACTAGTGTTTTGAGGTTAAATTCAGATATCAGGTTTTTTTAGGCTGCTTTTATGAAACAATTTTCTTTTGGTCATCTGTTCTGAAACAGCTGTATTCGTCCTGCAGTAGTACTATCAGCTTCTTCCTTTCAGGCGTGTATGTGTAGATTGAAGTGTACTTTTGCTAAGTTCTAGCAGTAGATTGAGTTAATTGCATGGATTTTAGGGAAAAATAAATCTAATGCTTTTTTGTACTTTAAGACTCTTCCAAGAGACATTGATAAGGTGTGTGCTGCTACTGCCACTGATTGGTATTAATAAGGAATAGTGTTTTCAGTAAAATTATGAGGGAGATCAACAGATACTCAGATTTGAGAGTAGGTTTGGTTTGGAAAGCTTGTGGTTGGTACTTGGCCAGGAATTAAGACTTTACTGTGCCATTTTGTTCTTCCTCACAATTTGGAGGTTACTTATTTAGGTATGAGTATATATAGATATACATGCATATAAATGTGTGTGTATAATCTTTGATTTTGTTACTATATTATTTAGGCCAAACACTTATGGCAGTGCATTTCACAAGTTATCTGTTTAATAATAGTAAAATAATACTTTTCAATAGCTTCAATCTTCTCTCTGACAAGAGAAGCATCTACCTTATCATCTGGTTCTTCATCATTCTTTGTGATTCTAGTGCTTATGTCCATCCACCTCACACTTCTTTTTTTAATTCGTGTCCTGGGCTAATTTATAGTAAGATCTTGTCTTTAAGCTATATATTCATCTAGTGGCTTAGTTCAATTATTTAATGTTAATCATAAGTCTCCTTTTCAAAAGATAGAAGAGAAATTAATTTCTAAAGTGGATTTGATGTTATTCTCCAGAGTGGATCCAAGAGTTTCTTCCCTTTCTTCCTCAAAGAGCCAGCTGGTATCTCCTTCAAATTCCTTTTATATTTATAAGCAAAGACGTGATGGTAAAGGAAATGCTTTTATTAAATGCTTGTATAACAAGTTCCGTTTCTCAGGTATAATATAGTACGGTTCGATTGATGAGCGTCAGAGCAGGAACTTACCTTTTCTCAAAGCTGTAAGACATGTACTCAAATGTCTGAATAAATCTTGTAAATAATAAATGTTGGTTTTTAATCAAAAGTATCTGTTACAGATTCTTATTTAGAAAAGAGTATATGGGGGGGTTTTGTCTTGGTTTTTGTGGAAAACAGGGCTTTATGAGAATATTCTGTTGTGCGCTGGTTTGTCAGAACCACAGACACTTAGGATAGTAGTTTTGTAGAACTTTGTGAGAATTGCTAGCTATGTAGAGTACAGACCCAAATTAATGCCGCTTTCCATATCAGGAAAAGATGGACAATATCTGGATTGTATCTGTTTTAAGTGAGACTATGAAAGTGAACATCCATATGAATATTCACTTCCCCAGCTAGCCATACCAAGGGTATTGAAGAGAGCTGCAAGGAAGCTAGGGCAGTACTGGATGTGGAGGTCCAGGGTTGTAAGTATTCCGAGAAAGAAGTAGATCAAAAGCTTGTATAAATATGGCTTATTTCTGTAGCACTCACAATAATTTCCTTAGTGGTGGTGATGATGAAGTTGTCGTGGATGGTAAATTAATATTTTTGTGACGCATATAGGCTAATATTACTTTAAAAATTGATAATATATAGGAACAAATCTAATTTTATAACTAGGTATTTTCAGCAACTAGAGCAGTTTTCACTGCAACTTTTCATGCATTATGTAAATGAAATTACATACTCAGTTATACACATGGGGAGGGGTTTTTTTTGCTTTGAGAGTTTTGTGGGTGTGGCTTTTTGGTTTAGTTTTCTTTTTTTACTCTGATCTTTGGTCTAGAATAAGAGATTACTGTGAATAGAGGTGTACTACTTGTGACTCTAGCTATTAGGACAGCTTTATTCCCATGAATGTAGAAGGCATTCAGAGCTGTTCATGTCAGGTTTCACTTGGGCTGCTCAGCAGGAGGGAGGAGAAAATGTGTAATGATCTCTGCTTATTTGCTTGAAAATATTCTCCAGTGTTATACAAAATGGGCCACCAGGGAAAACAGGGTGTTTAACTATCATTACAGCAAATATATCTGTGAAGTGGTAAAAATGCAAGTTGTTTGCTTTTTCTTTTTTGTTCTCCCATCCTCGTAAGTTACATCCTTTGGAGTCAAGTATCATCAGTGCTAACGGCACAGAGGGAATTTCAGCACAGTAGCCCAGTTTTCATAGAGACTCAAATTTCATAAATTGGGGGTGGTGGTTTGTGGGGTTTTGTTGAGGGAGGCAGAGGGGGAAACTGGGGATAGGATGTGTTTAAGTTGTGCTGTATTTACTTAGTACTTCTGTGGGAATTTGGCCTTAGATGAAATTAGGTTTTGCAGCTTGTGCCTTCTATCTTTGGGCAAGACTGAGATGTTAGGGAAAAGATCAGCCATTTGACAGAAAGGTGAAGGTCTCACTGATAATAATTCATTGAAAATTTTCCTAAATTTCACTGACTTAATAGACAAGAGGGTTTCAAGTTTGTACCTTCACTAAGAGATGCTGCACATTGATTTGAGCAGTTTTATGTTCTGTTGATCAAGAATATGAAACACAAACCAGATCAAATCAGGCTTCATTGATACCATTGCTCATGGAACAAATTATTCTGGTTTTGGGTTTTAAGTCTTTCCATTTGATATTCTCAAAAATAAAAAATATAGAACATTATACCTAACACCTTATATGACCCAGCTTTTCTTTATAGCGAGAGCCTGAGACTTTCTCATCAAGAAAAGGCTGTTTATTCTTCCATTTGCTTAACAACCTTAGCAAGTTTTAAATGTCAAGTGTAGTCTTCCTAGGTTTGTTTTCTTGGGAGACCATTGATTATTGTAAATTTTCACCATATGTTCTTAAACAAAATTTGGAGGTTACTAGTTGCTTGATGCTTTTAAAGAGGGGAACATAAAGATATTTTAGGTTTACGTTTTAATTCTATAAAATAATAATTACTCTGATACGCCAGTCTCCATCTGTATCAGACTTACATCTTGGTTGCTGAAATGAAGGAATATTCTGAAGAAAACCAGAGCATGAGCATGACTTTTCCTTCATGGGAATATGATGTAATTCTTGCAGATTTAGCTGATGCAGTTTGATACTGCCTCCCACTGTCTACTCTGCCATCTGTCAGATGTGAAATGGTGGGACAGCACATACATATGCTCCTTAGCCCTGCCAGTTAATAGGTAATTCACAGCATTATTTTAAACTGTGAATGGAGGTGTTAATGAGAAGTCAGAATGTGAAGAGGGAAACAGGGCATTCTGTTGCATTTCCCAGAACCCCACCAAAGATGAGTGGAATGCATTCCTCTAAAGCAGCATCTTTAAACTGAGAGAGCTTAATCTTTCAGAGCTTTCAAGTAATCTTCAAATGATCAGCCAGAAAGCTTTGATGCTATTTAAAAAAAAAAAAAAAAACAAAAAACAACAAAACAGACAAAACCGAAACCAACAAAAAAATACCCCACAGTACAACCTGAGAAAAGAATAAAAATGTGTGTATGGCATATGTGATTATAATTTGTGATGGCATTTGAACATAATAAAGATTCAAATTGTGGCATAGAGAATAGATTTAAAATATGATATTGGAGTATATTTTGCATTCTGAATAGCTACATTATAAGTAAACTCAAACTTACAGGGTTTTGGGGTTTTTCTTTAAATTGAGCTGTATTGCACACTTGTTGAAAGCATAGGAACCTTTCAGCTGATGAAATAAATAAAATGTTCTTTTACATCCTCAAATAAGACATTCAGTTCAGTGCAAGTTCCAATGGAGTAATCTTTTTTTCTTTTTCCTAGCTGGTCCTGGAGATGATCTGTACTGGCATGTTTGCTGAGCCAAGTATTGATTTTCTTGAAAAGGCTCTGTAAATGTTTCTGCTGCTCCTGGTGATGTAGCCTTTTGCAAAGAATTTTCCTTTTCCTGACAAATTGGCTTCTCTGCCCTTTTGTCTCTTACTTTACGAGACTTAGGGAATGTATTCTCAGATTTTCCCCTAAATACTTGCAAAAAGACACCTCCAATCTGTTACAGGAATAGAATATCAATAACAATGTATAGGTTAACTCTTACCACTATTTGTGGTATGTATTTAGGATAGAATATATGTGTCTTAGGCTGAAGCTCCACGCAGCCAGCTGCAGCTGATAACTCAGTTTTTTTGCACGATGTAGCTCTCCATTCAGCATAGCCACTGTTCTCATTGTGAGCAGAGGTTTACTTTAAAATATCTTAGTATTTTTATTAAGCACAAAATGATCTGTGCATTTGAAAGCAGAATTCACTTTAGTGTTGTAAGAAGAAATAGAATTGAAGATATTTTCTTTATGGAGCCTAATATACTCCACCATTACGAAGGGTTAAGACAGTACACCGCTGTTTTTATTTTGGCAGTCTTCTCATCATTTTTGCAATGTGTTCAAGCTGCTGAGAGACTGAGGCATTTGTCTCAAAGGATCATTCTGAAGTAGTGGAGGCGGTTTGGGACCATATACTAATTTGAATTGATTTTTTTTATTATTCTATACAAAAATAAGTCTAGACTGCTTGGTACTGGTTTGATAATGAGCAAGCAACAAAATAGAGCAAGAAAGTCTCTACTGGGTGCACTTATGTGGCTAAATAGATTACGTTTTTCTACTTGCTTAGCAATTTGGTTGTCTCCTACCAACATCTGCCATACCTAATACTCTGGATTACAAGTGGAATTGAGGAATTGGTCTCTTTTCGGTACTGACAGCTCTAGCCGCTTTGCGTATACAGACAAAGGTTTTCTTGGGTTCTTAGTGGCGCGTGCATAAACCTGTTCCCTCCAACTTGCTCAGTAGAGTTTTAATCATTAACTCCTCAGGGTGTGAGAAGAACCATTGCAATCACTAGCTAGTTGTTCCTTTCATATCCACAAAGAAGCCAGCTGGTATTGCTAGCTGTCATTACAGGTGAAGAATTTAGGATACTACAGACTTATTAAATCTTTGTACCATTCTAGGTAAGGTTACTCTTGAGAACATGTGCTAAATTTATTTCAAAAATCATGGAACTTTTTTTTCAGCTAACAAATGTGTTTTACTTTGTGATTATATGCATTGTATAAATTGATATAAATGTGATTATTTCTGATTATATATTTTTATTTTTAAAAAAGCTAGATGCTTGATCATATCACTAGAGTGATGAGGTGGTTTTTGCCTAGAATAGGACCTTGTAGAAAAAGTTTTCTGTCCATATGACAGGGAATGAGGGGTTTTGTCTTTATTAGGGACTTGGAAACTCCTCATGTTAAAGAGTTTGTGAAGAGTACTACTTTGGTTCAGATGTATTATGAATGTGCGTCTAGACAAGCACTTGGAAACACAAAAATAATTTTCTCTGTATATATCAACAACTTGAAAAGCAATTCATCTTTGTAGTCTGCTCCACTTCCATGAAGATGCTAAACTATTTTCAGATGTTTGAGAATTCAGATGAAGTGAAAGATTAAAGGATTAGGATGTGCATTTCTCCCTGCTCAATGCCCCCGTGGTGTCAGGTAGATGGACATGGTTTAATAGAAATACTGCTGAGGGAGGAATTTGGTTTTGAAGTGTTTCCACGTGTATATACCTATGGTGTGAAATGAAACTGGTAATATTTTACAGAGAACAGCTGTTGTGGGTAATCTTTATTTTGCATCTCTGCTTCTGACTTCTACTTGTGCAGGTTGTTACAAGGCCTTGTAGAGTGTATATATAAAAAAAAAGTTTGTGTAAACATTTTATGTATGTTTGCTTGGGCTTTTAAAATGTGAGCGTACATGTAAAGACATCAGTGCAACGTCTTCATAAGACACATCCTGACAGTAGGTTTGTGCTTTAAAGGGTACTGCATGGAAGAACGTTCTCCAAGTTACAGACCTTTAAAGAAGAGTGAATGTACCTCATTGTTTAAACTACTGGGTTATATAGTTTGTATTTTTGTAAGTGTTAATTAAAATAATTCATGTAAAGAATTCTCAGTCAAAACCATCTTTGAAGTCTTTTTTTAATCATTCACTTGTTTCAAAGTTCTTAAAGGCACATGTGGTTTCAGTTTGCAGTTAATATGTTTCGAACGTTACCACCATCTTCCAATCCAACGGGAGCAGAATTTGATCCAGAGGAAGATGAACCAACCTTAGAAGCTGCATGGCCTCATCTACAGGTAGTTAATGAAGACTAGGATGTCATAGTCTAACAGAATTTTGACATTAAAGTCGTCGTTTATGGACTCAAAAATTGTTTAGGTTATGTGTTTCTCAATTACATTTCTCTGCAATATATAAAATATATTTCTTGAATTTAAACGAACAATCTTTTTTTTAAAAAATTGCAGTATATTATAGGTTAAAGGCTCATTGCTTCTTGCAATACAGATGTAACTGCTGTGATTTTAAATGAGCTTCCGTTTGTGACTATGAATGCTTTGATCTTACTCTGGCACAGCTCTGACTTTCAGAGGTGCCATGACAAACAGAGGAGAACAGAGAATTTTCAAAACATGTACTTCTGGGCATGATGAATATTAGATTACTGTATGTCATTTGAGTAAAATCTAGTAATGGAGCTCAGCAGAATTTCAGTGCAGTTTAAAGAACCTTAAGTTCTTGTACTTTGTCAGGAGAGCAAGAGCAAAGCTTTTACTGTGTGGCATATAAATAAATAAAAACATAGTGCACCTCTGAGCAACTAATTAGTACTTTTGGTAACGTACTGCTTATAAAATGGTTCCTTGTTTAAAAGACTAATACTATTTTTTGTTGTTGGTTTCTTTTTTCAGCTTGTTTATGAATTTTTCTTAAGGTTTTTAGAATCTCCAGATTTTCAACCTAATATAGCTAAGAAATATATTGATCAGAAGTTTGTATTACAGGTGAGATAAAAAATGAATTTTTAAATTCAACTCTAAATTATTTTTACAGTGCATTAGATTCAAGTAAAGCACATCTCTTCTTTTCCCTCTTTGCAGCTTTTAGAGCTCTTTGACAGTGAAGATCCTCGTGAAAGAGATTTTCTTAAAACAACTCTTCACAGAATATATGGGAAATTCTTAGGCCTAAGAGCTTACATCCGGAAACAAATTAATAATATATTTTATAGGTATGTCAGTATCTTTGCATTATGGTGCATGTGATCAGGTACACAACTAAAAATACTCTGAGACACTGCTAGCAATTTTTTTTAATTTTTAGTAAGTTTACACCAATATTGCTATAGGTAACAATAATTAGTACCAGTCTGGGAGATTTAATTTAGGGTAGGCTTGCACACAGCATAAATTTGGCAGCTGAAATTTGAATTTGTATGCGATTCAGTGGGTGGTTTGGTATCTTTATCTGTGAGGCTTTTTTTTTCTTTTTGGGTACTAGTTATTTGCATTACAGGACTACCTTAATAAATGTAGTTCTTCACAGTGCAAAAGTTGAGCTCAAATTGAGTGACTGAGAGATCTGGAATGTGCTTGAAGGAACGTATTTACTGCCTTTTCTTTCCTCAGAACTGAGATGTAGCATTTAGGGCTAGTGAAATATTTGTTTAATTGCCATAGCATGAACTGTAGTGTTACTTATCTCTGCTACAAAAAAAAAAAAAAAAATCCCAACAACCTAAAGATGAAAAATTAATCAACTGTATTACCAAAGGTCTTTAGAAGTGTGTTTTTACTGCCATTATGTCAAGTGTGAATGCAAGATTATGGTGCCTTTTAGTCTTTTAGTTCTGGGTACGCTTCTGTTTTCTACAAGTAATTATGTTGCGTATCACTTTTACGCTCCTTCCATCATGCTTCCCTTTTTCTCTACTGCTGTTTTCATCCTAAAATGCGTGTATGATGCTGGGCATCATTCCTCTTTAAGGAAATAGCAAAAAGCTGCCACATATTCAGTGCCATCTCATGAATGGCACCCAGCAGTACCAGTTGTAGAGGGAGCGTATCTGCCCTGTGTATGGTAACAAGTAAGCCTTTACAAGAGAGACAGAGAGGCTACTTGAAAATAATTAGTAAGCCTTCACTGTCTTGCAGACTACTGCTCTTGGCTGAACATACGAAGGAAAAAGTACAGGTGTCTCAAACAAAGATGTAAATTTTTTTTCTCCACACACAGAGTTAATTAAATTAATTCCAAAATGCATAATTTTGTAAAATATCTGAACCAGATGGTACAACAGCATCACAGTGCATTATAATGCACTTCCGAAGAGTGTTTTTATTTGCCGCTTCTTGGACTATACTTACAAGGATAATGGAAGCAAAGCCTTCAAACACAGATAGTTCTGGTGCAAGGCTTTTGAAATGTTCTGGTCATTAGATCAACTTTGTAATAGTATGTATAAACATACGTTTTCAATCTGAAATGTATGTGGAGATTATATAAATTTGCACTGTAGAGGCTACCTTTATCAAGTTGGGGGAGGATTAAACAGAAAACCTCACTTAGTTGTATAATATTTAGGAGCTAGAAGTTGAAACATTTTTGCGTCCAAACTAGAGTTTCTGGATATGAGCACCAGGGCAGAAAGTTTTCAACTTCTGTTTTGAATTAGTGGGTCGTGCATGATAAACTCTTAAAGAACGTGTAGAATTTTTCAAAATATTTCCTTCTCTTATACTTTTTCCTGCAAATTGACAGTTTGTTACTGTACTTTCCTAAGAAATGTGTCATCTTTATTTGTCTTTTAGTCACTGTCCAGAATTGCATCAGTTCTGTCTTGACAGTGCATTAATCTTTTTTCTCATGTAAATTATATATTTTTAAAGTTATTAAATCTTTATGTTCCCGTTAATTCAGTCTAAAGCTTTTCACATAATTGTCTTTAGTTTTGCTTGGAATTGCTGTCCTGAATTATATGGAAAGGGTCTTTAAGGAGGAAAAAACAGTCATATCAAATATTTTGGATTAAAAGCAGCTGTTAGTATGTCAGTTTATGACAAATTTTAAAATAACTCCATTCATTAGAAAATATTTTTTATTTCCTCATAGGTGTAAATTTTTATAACTACTTGCAAAATACCTGAAGCGGTGCTTAGAACTTTCTCAATAAATTTACACTCAGGCAATTGGGAAGAAGGGTGGCAGGGTGATTGCCCAGTAAATTACAGTGCTCTATCAAAGAAAAATTCAGGAAAATTTGACTTCCTCTGTGTATTACAGAGGAATGTATTTCTGTATGCATAGAAGTCTGTAATGCCAAAGAGCTTTTTAGATCCATAAGTAGTAACTGAACACCTTGTGCTTGCGTGTGCTATAGAAGGTTGAGTCATGACATTTGATTATGCCAGGTGCTCTTGTGTGGTTTTAATATTTAAAGTGTTGTTTGCTGTGTTCAGTTTTGCGTTCTTAAAGTGGTATAGAATATGAGTATTGGAAAAAGCTCAAGTGCATGCTGCTTTGTTAAATGTGGGAGAAAAGAGCAAGCAAGTGTGAAGGTTGAAAGTGGCTTGACGTGATATTGATTTATGTTTCCACAAAGTTTCTTTTCCACTATATATTTCTGGGGTTTTTTACTGAGTGACTAAAACCTGGGAGGTAAAGGATACCTGTAATGTTAGATGGGCATCTTTTTGTTAGATAGTATCTCTCTTCAGCAGTAACTGAGTAAAACTTTTCATTTATTTAGGTTTATTTATGAAACAGAACATCACAATGGCATAGCAGAATTACTGGAAATACTGGGAAGGTAAGTTGTAGGTTTTGTTTAATTAAACTCACTTGGTCTTCAGAGTAGACTTGAAAAATCAAGTTGGGGGTTGCTGATTGCTTTGAGACAAGATTAAAATAGCTTCATATCATGTCAGAGCTGTAACGAAGAGAATAAGTTTTGTGTAAGATTGCAGAAACACAGCAAAAACATGAACCTTGTGGCAATGTTTTGGGATGTGATCTGGTTTTAAATCCTATTTTTTTAAGTCTTATTTTCTAGCTCAGAATCCTTGTAATTAATATGAGTTGTAAAACAACTACAAATAACATGTAATGAGTTGAAATTTATTCAAAAATTCTTCTAACATCACAAATGCACAGCAGGTAAACAAAGGAAGCACAGGTTATGAAACTTCAGAAACCTTTTGTTAATCCCATTATTTTACAAACTTGGGTGATGCATCTGAAAGTGGTTGAAACTGAAGTTTTGTAACTTAAAGCGGATAGCCTTGTCAAAACTAGTGTGTTGGGTTTTTTTAAATCAACTGATTTCTCTAATCCATGTGCAAGCTTTTGGGTTCTTGGTTTGGGTTTTTTTTAATATGTTAATACACTTTAAAACCTTCGTTATGTTTACTTCGTGGTGTTTCCATATCTTTGCACATAAAAATTAACAGGTCAGTGAGAACAAGTTGCTCAGGGTTGTGTCTGGTCAGGCTTTGGATATCTCCAAGGATGGAGACCCCATCGGTTTTTTCTTACGTTTGAATGAAATTTCCTGTGTTTCAATTTGTGCTCATTGCCTCTTGCCCTTTCACTGGGCACCACTGAGAAGAGTCTGACTCTGTCTTCTTCACACCATCCCTCCATGTATTTGTACACATAGATAAGATTCCCCTGAGCCTTCTCTTCTGTACAGTAAACAGCTTTCTCAGCCTTTCTTTGTATGTCAGATGCTCCAACCTCATCATTATCTTTGTGGCACTTTTCTCGATTCTCTCTAGTATGTCCACATCTTTGTCTTGGGGAGCCCAGAACTGGACCCAGCACTCCAGATGTGTCTCACCAGGGCTGGGCAGAGGTGATGGATCACCTCCCTCATCCTGCTGGCAATGCTCTTCGTAATGCGGCCCAGAATGTTGTTGAAATTGGAAAGATGTTTTAAAATTTTCTAGGTCTACATGTCTACCCAGAACAGTTCTTTAACTTTCAATGAAATGTTCAGTGATTAAAGGAGTTACCTATCCATCATTACTTCAACATACTATAATCCAGTAATGCTCATCAGGATATACTGAAGACTGTGTAAAGCTTAAACGCTAATAATGTGGAGCTAAATCTTCAAAACTGTAACTTAAGTTACCAGCCTTTTCATTCTTGATTTTGTTAGGGTAGCTTTAGGTGTTAAAAATTTAAAAGTTAAGTTGCTTGTTTTGGTTTTTCCTGCCCCCTCAGGCTTCCAAATCAAAATTTCTACTAGATAAATGAGGCTTCCAAGCTGTAACTGTTCTGTATTGGTTATTCTTCTAATCCGTTAAGGAGTTTCACACAGCTTGTTGTTGACATAGAGCTTCTTGTGAGTAACAGTTTTTAGTTGAGTTCCTGGGTTTTGACTTGTCAGAAGTAAAGAGGAATTGTATTTCATGGTGAAATACTGGATTTCATTCTTTTCCTTTGCTAAGTGCTATATAATACTGGACAAATTAACATTTCCAGTAGGAACTACTAATGTGGTGGTTTTTCCTGACAAGAATCTCTTGACAGTATTGCAGAATTTCTTCACACTCAATGATGGCCAAACTTGCCTTACAATTCTGCTCCTCTTTGTGGTTAACAACCTGTAAAACGTCTTGGAAATACTTTTTTTTAATGAAGTTAATGTATATTTGTCGAGTATGTGGAGGTTGTGGCAAGAACACCATGGAAGTGTTAATGTGGAAATGGGGTTTTGATATGCACTGAGAGAATTCAGGAAGAAGAATCTCGTATGCTCAAAATAGTTGTGCAGTCATTACTAGTGAAAATTATTTTAAGCATGCACAACAAGAGCGAGCAAGTGCTATTTAGTAAGCTTTAGTTCTGGGACATCATCCGATTTCCAAGATCTGATAGATAATCTAACTTTCAAATTTTTAATGTGCTGGGTCTTTCGGGTTTTTTTTTGGGGGGGGGGTGTTTTGGTGGGGTTTGGTTGTTTTTTTTCAGATAAGTTTGCAGGTTCCTTTTGCCTTGGTGCTTTCTGTCCTCGTTAGTGAAGAAAAAAAGCATTAGAATGAATAAAATAGGATTTAAAATAGTAAACGGGCAATAGGATTCTGAATGTTTTAACTGATGTTAATGCTAGCAAAGAGCATGAACACAAAACAGTGTTCTAGTACCGTGTTTTTAGGTAAGTAAAGATGCTATTGAGCCACATCTGCACTCACCTGTAACTGGGAGGTTATGTGTTAAGCTGCTGTTTGGTTATATGCTAGGGTCTTGCAGAAACAGTAACATTTTAGTAGAAGTCATGTTTTGACTTGTCTGCTATCCTGGATTGATCTCTTCAACATCCAGTCTCTGGTTCATTCTTTAATTCTGTGAAGAACCTGGGAGAAATACATATTCAAAGCTTTGATGATAGTGAATAGTTCATAGTGAAAGTTGGAATCTGAAGTGTAGATATAGTCATATGCATTTCTTGGAAGGTGAACTTGGGACCTGTGAAAGACTTGGGTGAGGGATCGGCAGAGGTTGATTTGACTGTTCATTTATAATCCTTAGAGAACCGGATCAAAAATTAAATAGTGTCTGGTGCATGCTTAATTTGTAAATTTTTCTGTTGCATCGTGTTCTCCAGGAGACTGCAAAAAAAAAAAAAAAAGTGCTGAAAACAAGGATTTTGGTATATCCTGTACAGTAGTGTAGATTTTATATAATTACTGATTTTGATCTTTAAATTTCTTTCCCTGGCAGCATAATTAATGGATTTGCCTTACCATTAAAAGAAGAGCACAAAATATTCTTATTGAAGGTTTTGTTACCATTGCACAAAGTGAAATCACTCAGTGTCTACCATCCACAGGTAAGTTTTGTTTGGCACTCTTTATGCCAGTGTTAAAGTAAGCTTGCCAAGAGAGGTCAGGGGATTCTAGTTGTTCTGGTGTGGATTCTCTTCTAAGCTCCAACACTTCCCTGCTAATTGGCCTTGGGGAAATTATTTAATATATGTTCCTATAATTCTTCACTTGTTGAAGAAAAAAAAAAGTGTGTGTATATAAATAAATACATTTTGTAGTGTTTATAGATGAAATGCATGAAGTAGTTGGTTAATGTGAGAGTTCTTGATATTTATCCATACATAAATTTTTATCTTGTTCTTGTCTGTAATGTTTAGACGTTAAAAAATTGCAAAAAAGGATATTTTTAATGAATGTCATCTATACAGTTTTTTCTAAACTACATGCAGAATTTCAGCTGAATTTGATTTCTTACAACTGTCCCGTCCCACTCAGGGGGTGAGGG